GTACTTTGTCTACACTGGAAGAATGTACCTCTGATGTTCGTGCTTGGTTGCTGACTCACAAACTAATTAATGTTTAAGGACTTGGAAACAGAATTTCGTGTAATTGGTATACACCTCACCGAAAATTGAAATTGGACCCGTAAATTAAAGTTTAAATTCAAATTAATTGGATTAACAGTGTTCGTAATTTGGAATCGTGGTTTGAAAAGCACATGCATGTCAATGTTTGTTCATGTAGGCAAGATGTGCAGTAAAGCATTTGAGGACTTTATAAAATACGACAAATTAGAAAATTTTTATTTGTTGACACAACGAAAATTCTATAATACATGCCTTCGTGACACCACCTCTGGACAATAGACCTTTCCCCTTATGAGTGAAATTTTCATCTAGATATGTCTGGGTAACAATTTCGTCAAAGCTAATTGAAAGAGCATCACAAAATTAGCAACATTCAGAAGTTTCGTTGCGAAATGTAAATGACAGTTGTATAATGCGGATAATATATAGCCTTGCAAAGTTTGCCGTTTTTCAGTCATTTTGCATTACAAACTAACATTTTGCATCAGTTTGATCATCTGATTATCAATTTCCTGTTTGGAATACCAAATGAATGAAAGACGGCAAACTTCGCAAGGCTATATTATCCGCATTTTACAACATTTCGCAACGAAACTTCGGAATATTACTAATTTGTAATGCTCTTTCAAGGTGTGATAAAATTTTTGTCCAGACTCATTGTCTCGATCAAAATTTCACTCAAAAGAGGAAAGGTCTATTGTAACGCTCTACTGACTGGCATACCTCAATATCAAGTCCCACGAATTCAGAGAATACTTGCTTGAATACTATTAAAGCATATACATCGATAATGAACCACAAAACTCAAAGTTGTAAACAGTTTGAAATTCGTGACCGTGTGACATGTCATGTTAACTGTACCTATGTTTGGTCTGGTCGCGTATTTTTGATGTAAGGGCTGACTAGATCGAGAGTTATTAACCGATGTTGAAATCCATGATTACATGGCTAGTCTCAAACCGGGATGAAATCTCAAGCTGGTCTGAAACGACCAGGTCTCAAAATAGAGCTATTCCGCTTCTTTGAAGAATTTAAAATGTTGTTTTATCTATTATTTATTTTTTGCGAGATTGTGTTTTGCATTTAAAAAGGCGAAAATTCTCTCCAATATCAAGCTCTTGTTTGAAACCAATACTTGTCAGTCATTTGACCTAAGGCACAGTTGCCAGGTGCTTCTTCACGACCAGTATAAAACATTTTTCTATATAATCGTTCTACACGAAGGGAAGGAATGTTGATTACGGTTGATGGTTGGTGTAGTAACCTCAGTCAAAAGGTAATCCCATGCATGTATGTTCATCACCTTTCCAACACTGTCCAGTATTTACCTGTATACGATCTCCATGCTCCACCAGATAAACTTGTCGAAGCGTTCCTAGCTTAGCTTTTGGGAATTTCTCGATATCTACGCCGCGGTATGGGGGTAACTGATAAGCAACGGAATAGCTAAATGCTGTGATAGCAAGGCTAACGAAAACACGAAAGAGCTTCATTGTGGTGAAATTTAGCTAGAAATAACCCAAACTTCTTCCTATTTCTTGCAAACTTTCCTACTGTTGACAGACAGCTGGTCATTTTAAAAAACATTCCCGAAAATTTTCGGTTTGTAAACCTGTATATAAATCCTATTTTCAGCGACAAAGCGAGGAATGAAAACGCACACATGGGATATGAAAATTGTGAAAAAGGATGGTAATGAAATGATACGAAATTTTCAAATACAGATTCCCGTGGTCGCTGCTGTTGGAAGGTATATCATAATTACGGAGCTTAAAGTATTAATATTCTTTGTTGGCATAATAGATATAAGTATAATTAAGTTTTAAAAATAATGTGGACGCTCCGAAAAGATTATATTCAACATTTCAAAGTTTTCATCCGGTTGCTCTGGTTTCGTCCCGCAGGAAATGTTGGCAGGTTGGGTTGGGAATAGCCCCTACCTACCCCCTCTCCCTGTTGCTGTGCTCCGTAGTTAAACATGAGTCGTAAGGTGGGATCGGTACGCGCTCTTACAACATCTTCGAATCGATCAAGTTGAGCTGCGCATGCGTGCTTCGAAATTCAACATTTCAGGTCCATTCATTCCTTTTTCTTTGCCAAGTTTTTCTTGACACATTTTATTTGCTCGTCTTTCGTATGTGCTGCCTGGTTTTCATCGGGTCATGCAGCTTTTGGTCAAGCCGGATTAGACAGTGAACTTTTCAAGGAAACGTGCCAAGAAAAACTTGGTCGTCTTTACCTGGCCATATCTATGGTCAACCTCTCAACCAATTTGTCACTTTTCATGCCAACAAATGATATGTGTTTCTTGCATGGAATATATACTTCTTTTGGAAACAGCAGCTTAATTTCAGCCGATCCATGTGTATGCTCGGGCTTATCAAAGCCGTGATCACTTGACGTTGGTATAGTTGCAGATATTTAAACCATTCAAATATAGGAATTATATTTAACCGCTTTTCAATCATTAAAATTTCTAGATACACAATACAAGTTGTTCTTCCAAAAATTCCACTCAGCCATTAAAACAGTCTGGACAAATGATCGTTTTGTTTAATCCTTGGAACAAAGGTAAAAATTTCATAAACTGTCTCATCCAAGACCAACATGGGCCACTCAAATTAGACTTTAGTTTCCTGTCCTGACATACATGAACTAGAGCTCGAGAACTGTCTCTTTGTAGCTTAGTTGGCTGGAGCGTTGTTGCACTGGAATTGCAGCGCCGCAGGAGAGATTCCTGCCATTATCTCATACGCTTTCCTGTTGGCTACAAGGAGGTGCGTTCAATCTCGAACCCACCAGCTGACGTATGTTTAGGAGGTGGGTTCGAAATCGATGTTTTGGCGGCGGCCATTATGAAGTGATTTGAACAAATTTCAGACGAAAATTTAAATAAAAAATATATTAACTGTTTTTAATTGTTTTATAATTATTATTTTTTATTTTGTGTGATGAAAATGGAATATTCTGTATTCAAAGTGGAAGAGAAAAAAAGATGGCCGCCGAAATTTGTTCGGCACAGCTTGAGTGGCCTCGCTTCGCTCACAGGCGGCCCAATCTCAGAATGAATGATCAGGTGTTGCCGGTTTTTAACGGTTTTTATAAACAAATTTATAGTCAACTAAAACTATTTTAAAACATTCTTAAATTAGTCAAATAAATACATTTTAACAACAAAATATAGTTGACATGATAGTATAATACCTTTGCATTCTTTTAATTAATCCCTGAGCTCATTTAGAGCGGTTGATGTAACATTTTCTGTGGCCTACATTGTGTGTGCTCATCTATATATAATATAACAGTAAAAGGCTAATCACTGGCGACACGACCGCATCGCCTTCAAAGTTAAATATCTCCGCTCAAACTTGTCGTACGCCAAAACTAATTCGATTACATCTTTTCACAAAGATTTCTCTTCCTAAATAATGTGGTTTGATCATAGTTTGGGCAAATTTAGCGACGAACGGAGCCAAAATATCCTCAATTTCGAATACTGTTCAAAATACTTAGGGCTGCTCGGGCACGATCGTGGACGTGACGTAATCAATACATGTTGACAATACCTCCTTACCCGGGGTGGGACAGCATATCAAATCTGACGATGATTTGTCGCTTGATGCTGTCCCACCCCGCGAAAGGCGGTAAGGAGGTATTGTCAACATGTATTGATTACGTCACGTCCACGATCGTGCCTGAGCAGCCCTAAGTATTTTGAACAGTATCAGTATCGAAATTGAGGAGATTTTGGTTCGTTTGTCGCTAAATTTGCCCAAGCTACGATCAAACCATATTATTTAGGAAGAGAAATCTTTGTGAAAAGATGTAATCGAATTAGTTTTGGCGTACGACAAGTTTGAGCGGAGATATTTGACTTTGAAGGCGATGCGGTCGTGCCGCCAGTGATTAGCCTTTTACTGTTATATTATATATAGATGAGCACACACAATGTAGGCCACAGAAAATGTTACATCAACCGCTCTAAATGAGCTCATGGAGTAATTAAAAGAATGCAAAGGTATTATACTATCATGTCAACTGTATTTTATTGTTAAAATGTATTTATTTGACTAATTTAAGAATGTTTTTAAAATAGTTTTGGTTGACTATAAAATTTGTTTATAAAAACCGTTAAAAACCCGCAACACCTGATCATTCATTCTGAGATTGGGCCGCCTGTGGGTCAACATATGGCTTCTTAATCTTGCGTTTGCCTTTGATGCCAGAAGTGCCTAGTTCGAAAAAGGAACAGATATCTTGTAGCACCAAAATTGAAAATCTGTCGAGCTTATTGCGTGAAGCATAGTCACAAAGTTTATATGTGTCATACATTATTGGATGGCAAGAGGAAACTGCATTAAGGACCTTAAAATGTAAATCTTGTATTAATTCTTCTGTACTGACTTCTTGTTCATCCTTCTGGGATGTAGTTGAAAATCCAGCGGCAGCCTTCCTCCTCTTTGCTGTTTCACGCGAATAGAAACTGGCGATTTGCTGTGCCGTCAGATATTCGGTAGCTGTGAACATAGGCTCGCCACTGGAGAGCCTTTCCCTCTTCATTGTTCTTGAAACGGACACAGGATCAGCCTTTTGACCAGTCTGCTCACCGACTTGATAAGTATCTAGTAAATGTATTTTGTTTCTCCGATAGTCGTTTGTACTCCTTGGTACTTTTAAGGGCCCAGCCCATATTCAGAATCGGCGTAGTTACAACGTCAACTGGAATGTCTTCATATATCTGTGGTACATCACAAGTTGCTCCTTGTTCAAGCTTTGATGCGTACATAATTATTGCCTTATCAAATAAAGTTTCGCACTCTAGAGCGTACTTGTGCCTCCCACAATTGAGGTGGTTTTGAAGTGAGGAATGTCGCTGAAAGGACATGACGCAGCCTTCCTCAGAACAAAAGAATAAGCTCTCAGCATTTGGATATATTGTCTTCATCTGTAGCGTCCTCTCCTGCTGAGTCAAACTGTTCAGGCACGGTGGTTTCTTTGGATTGTCGTCTTGTCATGATGTTAGTAAATGAAACTGAAGCGGTATAGGCGCTCACCTCATGTGGATCTTTGAGTGTTGGTGGAAGATAATCTTTGGGCACGCTAAAATGGCATGTAGTAAAACACTGACTACCGGAACACCGGAACACTACCGGAACACCGGAACACCACCATTTTGTTTGGGGTTAGGGGTTGGGGTTAGGGTTAGGATTGGGGGTTAGGGTTGGGGTTAGGGTTAGGATTGGGGGTTAGGGTTGGGGTTAGGGTTAGGTGGTGTTCCGGTGGTGTTCCGGCGGTGTTCCGGCGTTGTTCCGGTGTTCCGGTAGTCAGTGTTTTACTACATGCCCGCTAAAATCGTCCCATAACTTAAGTTTGCCAGGTCCAATACCATAGGCTCTCCATACTCTGATCCCTTCTTTGCTGAATTTCATGTTGTTAAGGAAGCTGATCCCTTCCCATTTTACAGGAAAAGGCACTTCATCACCTTGTGGGCCACACAACGTTACTCGTACCCCCGATACACCGCCTTGTGATTCTATGGCTGCCACCATTTGCTCCGCTGCCTCGATGTCATGACCCTCATTGAGATGAATTCTCATTTTGGTTTTAATTGTAGCCGCTTTGCGGTCGCAAGACCCTTTTCCTCCCTGTGGGTCAGAGAAATCCATGGATAGCTTCATGTTGTGC